TTTAATTGATTCCCAAATATACTATTAATAGTTGATCAAAAAAAATCAAGTATTTGGAGCATGCAAGCTTTCAGCATCTGAATTTTCTTTCAGGAATTATTGTGTCCAAAGTGAAAAGTCCATCACCATGTCCATATTTATAGATGTCCAAGTTAAAAAAAAAAAAAAAAAAAAAAAAAAAAAAAAAAAAAAAAAAAAAAAAAAAGGAGGGGGAGGGAATAAGTTTTTTATTCGTGTTTATCATTATGATTTTCTTAAACATTTCTATTTTATATAATTTACAGTAATTCTATACCTATTAGGAGCAATATGAGCTTTAGAATTCAGGTATAAACCAGCATTTAAAAGTGTAGAATTAGTACATTTTTCCATTAAGATTATTTTTTTTATTTATATAAACAAGTGTTTCATGATATTCAACAACATCTGGTATAAAATATGCTTCATTAGAAGGAGGAAAGCATATGTTTTTGTTATTAACCCACCTAAAATCATGTTGCCATTTAGGCTTCAGCTTGACTACAAATGCTGATAAGCAAGGTGCTAATCCCATCTTTGTTTCTAACCAACAGAAAGCTGAAACTTTGACCTGCAACTTCCAGATGCTCCAGAGCTCTCAAGTGAATTTCTCACTGCTTGTCACTGCAGTACACATCACTCTAAAAATGCCTGATCCACATACTCCCAATAGAAAACAAAACACAGCTTTTTAAGGATATTACAGGGGTAGTAAGTAACACAAAGTTCTTTGGTTCTCTCTTTGTCAGAGCTAACAGCAGTTTGAATCACACTGCCTCAAGCTGCTAAAAGAAACGTCAGTGATCTATTTTATAACAAATGGTGGTTTCTAAAAGGTGAGGATTTTGATTCCTACATCATTCATCACCAACAAACTGTAAAAAAAAAAAAAAATGAACCACAGGATGTTTTAGTAAAATCTTCCCAGCAATTCAATAGACAAAAGTTTGCATGAGCTACTCAGTGATATTACATACACATATTCAGGTGGTCAGGGACTGGAAAAATCAATTACTGCTTGTTGCACACGTATTTGATGAGTTGCTCAATACCCTGAATGTGGATCAGATTACTAAACCTCTGCTTGATGTTGTAAAGATATTTCTTCTTTCCTTTATGTCATATGGCATTATTGATTCAGTTTACTAGCTTCTTACAGATGCACTCAAGAAGTGTTTCCATCCAGCTGTGCCAGACTGAGCTCCAATTCTGCAGGTATTGATCTCTAAAAGATAAAAATCAATGTTTCTGTCATGACAATGAACAGATGACTGAAAAGTAGATAACCTGTTTGTTTGCTTTAACAAGATTTAATGGCATACACTTAACTTTTATGTCTCATTATAAAGAGCTTAACAGAATAACTTTTTCTTTTTTTCATTCTCAAATCTAATAATGTTCAATAATGAAACTATAGATCCTACATATCTGAATAAAACCATTAAGGTGACCTTAATGATTGGTCACCTGTGGTAAAGTCACCACAGTTAAAAGAGTTGCTGGTCCTCTGCTAAACTTTAAACCAGGGGCAGGCATGTTCCACATGCAAAATGGAAAGCACTGGCTGCAGTGACCCCGCAGGGACACAGGCAACCTCAGCTGGTGAGCAGCAACTTGTGAAACTACAGATCAGGTCCCTTCTGACTGATGACACACCATTTTACACTTCCATGAAAGCCAAATACGAGTAACTCTATCTAGTTATAGTCAACTTCAGTAAGTTTGGTCTTGCAATCTGCCCAAACCTACAAGTTCAACCAAGTAAGTCAATTAAAAATCTTGCAAGCTGTGGTGGGGAGGTCCTTACTGAACAGCAAACAGCACACTCTTCCAGACACCAAAACCCTGATGTGATTCAGGTTCTCACATTTCTCTGGAGTTTGTTGCATGGTAGTATCTCAGGGAAATGTTACTTTTCTATATCCATAAAGAGGGTGGCTGCCCACCAGCATGGAGCACACCCAAAGAAGCAGGAGCACCATGCCTGCTCTCCCTCCACAGGACAATCCCATCTCCCAGTCACTGGCCCTGCCTTCCTCCACCCAAGTCGGAGTTAATGATTTTCCAAGCAGATGGCTGCTGCTGGTAAGTAGATAAATTATAGCCAGCAGAAAGCAGGAAGCTTAGGATCACTGCCATGGTGAAAAACTGGATCCTTAAGAAACAAAATTATATATAAACCTAACACTGCATCTAAAACAAACAAACAAACAAACAAACAAAACCACCACGAAATTTTTTTGGGCCCAGTCTGCTTTACAGAGCAAGCTAACAGTTTCCTTTCTTATGCCTGAAGCTTTGCAATCACTATGTTTCCGAACTGTATTTTTTCATTAGTCTTATGCTTCCAAATATAATCTATTATCTGGCAGCAAAGGCAGCAAAACATTTGTTCCCTCTCAGTACAGCTGCAACCCATTGGATTTAAAAAATGGTATTGGCTATCCAGCAGTCCTCTATCATGTTGATTTTTCCATGGAAACAGCATTATATTATTTTCCTTGGAGGGGGGAGTGTGGGTGGTGCTGGGAACAGGATGAAGAAATGCATTTCCAGTGTTTTTTTGTTTTTCTAGTTCTCATCCCTCTACACACTGATAGAAGGGATTAGACTGGACTCCCCAAGAGCAATACTTGAAAAATACTTATTTTTTCAAAATATCACACAAATACACTGGGGTTTTTTTAGGAATTTGTTCCCTATCTTCATTTCTTAAAAGATTGCATATGCTTGTCTTTTAAAGTGAACTTCAGCAATCTTTTGCTATATGGTCATGAATGTTTCCAAATCATCTTCATAAACAGAGGCTGTTCTGAAGAAAAAAAATTCTGAGACAAAGCCCGATGTTGAGGAACAAAAATTAAGAAACAAAAACTAATAGAAAAAAAGGAGAAGTCCATTTCAAGCATTTTCAAGGGGACTGAATTATTTGGTTGTGGCTATGAGACAAAAGTGGAGAGATTTGGTGGTAACATGGGACATAATTACATCTTTTAGTCAGAAATCACAACCTTAGAAATTATGAATCAATAGAGATGGCAAAATTATTGACATTTCTATTTTCCTTTTTACTACTAGAGAAAGACTAACTGCAATAAGCATAGCTTACCATCCTGATAAATAAATGCCTCTTCAGTTATGTACTCCATACAGTCTGAAAAGAGTTCTCTTCATATAGCAGTAACTTAAATGTTTTCAGACTTTAGTTTTGATACACCAGTGAATTACAGAGTATCATTCCTTCTTTGTAGTTGCCTCATAGCAACACATTTTAAAAGTGCTGAAAACTAATTTTGCTGAAACTCTTTGCTCTCTACTCTTGCCTTCAAATTCTCAAATTCAGTCCATTATTATTTATGGTCAAGAAGTAACTGGAGATAGTTCACTTGATTTCTTCCCCTGCTCTTCTGCTTGAGGTCCCACTGACACCACACAGGGGTCACATAAACCTGAATGTCTGCCTTGATTAATTTCATGGCAGAAGTCTTACATAATGAGCATACACTTAACAGGTACTTTGTTTAGCACCAGGGATTTTGACTGACTTATTGGATGTAGCTGTTTCTAGTGTCTTATGCAGTTTTCCTTTCACATCATCATCATCATCCTACTTTGGAGAAGAATTTCAAGGCTTGAAGAGCTTTCTTCATTTGAGACACAGAAACAGTGTGACAGAACCAGAGGATCCTCCCACCTTCAAGTAGAGACCAGTTGTGTATTGCTTATTCCCCTACAGTTGCATGGTGGGTTTTTTTTGAACCTCCTTGTAGGTCAAAGCTACACAATTTAGACCCTACTTTTGTGTATCTTTGGATTTCTATTCTGCAATTTCACTGCGACATTTAAGTTATACAGAGATGAGCAAAATTCAGCACTACCACAAGGCCTGAAACCTTTAGAACCCTTATTAAACTAAAATTATTTACTTGACTGTTCATGACCTTTTCTGGAGTCTTAGTACTTCATTGAAGGTAAGTTATTCTTCTGTTTGAAAACTTCATACTGTTAAGAATATACAGTTATAGCTTTTTGTCTAGTATCTTTTCTTCAATTACCATTTTTTGATAGCTTTAAGTCCTGATGTATTTCTCAAAATCACTGTCCAGTTTGCACAAATCAAGTCATTCTGCTGCTTGACCTTGCTTCATGTTCAACAGTAGGAACATACTTTAATTCCCCATAATCCTGCTGTGTTTATATTCTGAAGTGACAGAACTCAAATGTATATAAATGGTAATCAAATCCTTACAGAGTTTTTGAAGCTACTTCTCATTTCCTAATTACGTTCCCTGCTCTGCTTGCAGTTCCCATTCATTACCACCCCTCCCCAGCAGCACACTAATTGTTGTGACCCCATTTCCCAGGACAGCTTTAGGTACCCAGTGAGGTGGCAGTGCCAGTGCTCAGCCAATTTTCCTCCCCTAACGTTGTCAACAAGATCAGAAGCGTTACTGAACAAGTAAGCAAACACTTCATTATTCCAGGCCCTCCAAAATAAATCAAATCCATCACATGCGTAATTACTACAGAAAACCGACATGGCCCTGGGAACAGCCTCCTGCATCCTCATTTTTACTTGGACTTACCTGGTGTAGAAATTCTTTGTAGCTCTCACTAATGACACCTGGTTTGCAATCTCATCCACGGTTTTTATCCTGAGTAACAAGCTCTTGTTTACTTGCACTTTTATTTTACATCCTCAGTATTGACTTGACAGAACCAAATCAAAAGTAGCAGTTGCTACATTCTGTGCAAATTTGCCTGCTATAATAGAATCATAGAAGGGCTTGGCTTGGGAGGGACTTGAAGGATAATCTCATTCCAACAGCCTGCCACAGACAGGGAAACTTGCCACTGGACCAGGTTTCTCACAGCCCCATCCAACCTGGCCTTCAACACTTCCAGGAATGGGGCAGCCACAGCTTCTCTGGGAAACCTAATCTCTCAGAGGAACTCTGATTACAAAATCTATGTTTTCTTACCTCATGTTGGTGGCCCATCACAATAACCAGCATCTCCTTCAACAGTAGGCAAAGTTTAGAATTATTCTGAAGACAGACCTGTATAATGACATCACTGTAGGAGACACTTTACGGCAGTTTTGCAATGAAAGCCAGTTTTAGTGTTTGAAATACCAGTGCATGTCATGAGCAATCTGACCTTAAGCAGGACAGGAGCAGAACAACCACCTGATAGTTATAGTTTAATCACACTGTAAGAAAATCCAACACTCAGTTCCATTAGACAGAATTCCCAGGACAATAAGCAAACCTTGATCAAGCTATGGCTATATTTTGCAGCTGTTAATTAATCAGTTAGCATCACTACAGGACAGGAAAGCTATTTTCAAGAGATGACTGTTTCAGTTTGTGTTTCCAATACAATTAATACAGGATGGTTTATATGACAGACAGAATGGACCGTGCCATTCTCAGGTTGGTGTTTTGGGGTTTGTTTCTCTAGTTATTTTGGTGTTTTGTCTGCTGGGTTTTGTTTTATATACCTAATTCTCAGAATGTTTGTACCAAACAAGAGTTGTTTAAAAATAAATAATTAGGAGAAAAAAATTGATTGCAAGTAAGACCTTCACTCTTGGAATCTTTATTATTTGCACACCTATGGGACACTTCTGAAAAATGTTATTTTAGAAGCAGGTTAGCTATCTAAGAACCCATTCAAATGACAATTAAATTCTGTTAGAACAGTTCAAGGACCAGCTTAACTGCTGTTAATTTGCACATCTTTCTAGGTTGTTGCATGAAAGTTCACCTAAGTGTTATTGAACTTGAGTTAAAAAAGGAGCTTAAATAATTTACCTTCTTCTAGTAGAGAGAAAACATTTTGATAAGGCAGCAACTTGCAGAAATTTAAGCTGCTTTTAGCTGCAAGCAATCGCAGGAATATATTCACATGACCAGTCTTCATTGTATAACAAGCTCCATAGAGATTGTTATTAGTCACAGATAATAATTCCCACTGTTACAGAAAATCTGTGCTCAAAATAGTACCTCCCAAGGAAAAATTTCATTGCAAACACAATAAGACTTGGGATGACAATCCTCAAGTTGGGGAATTGGGAAGAAAAATTGAGAACTTGCCCACAGTCATCTGTCATTTAAGGAAAATCAACAAAGCAATCAGAGCTATCTGCAACATAATTTAGAAGATACAATACTACAGCAGAGGGAAAATACCTTGTATGAACTACAGAAACATGAACATATTTACTTTTTCATGTTCAATTATAAAAGTATGGTTTTAAGCTCACGCAAAGTATTAAAGGGCTCCAGAATTTGGCTCTAACAATTGAGAAACTGATTGTATGGCTTAAATGAAGGAAAATTTTTACAGGATACATTGGATAGATTCAGAAGGAAAATTAACATGTTAGATAGCAAGTTAATCACTACCTAGCAACAGAAGCAACTTAAAATATGTAATCTTAGCTCCACTCTGCTCTTATCAGTATGGTTTAATGTGTGAAATCTCATTAACAGAGAACAACATGCTTTCCAGGGAGAAAGAGGCACATTTAGTATTTACTACAGAGAACTAAAAAGAATACAAAAAAGAACATTTCACTGCTGATAATTCTTAACTTGCCTAACTGAAGAAAACGAGTACAAAAATGGTAGATGGAGCTGTCATCAGGGGACAGATGTTACTTTATTAGCAGATACAGAGTGGTATCTTAGCTCTCTGTTTCCAAGGCAGGTCAAGACCAGAGACCTGGGATTGGGTACCCTGAGCATAACTAGGGAAGTAAACAGAAGCACAGATATATAGGAACATGCTAATTGGTATATTTTGTTCCTTTAGATCCAAGGAAATTATCTACATACATAGTAAGGATATAAACCAAAAAACATGTTATCAGAATAAGATTGAAATGTCTACGGGTAAAGTAGCATTAATCTGCATTTATGACCAGCTCACTTGGAGATATCTCCACATGATCCATTAAGAAACATTATTCCAACAGAACAACTACATACCAAGCTAAAAACCAACAAAATAACTAGTAAGTATATGAAGTTGATTCATTGGGCTGATTCCTGAAATGTGATCCTGTGGACACAAATGCACTGCAGGGGTGATGAAACAGTGTTTTGTTAAGCAAAATCACTTTGGTAAGAGTTGTTGCCAGTAACACCTTTATCAAAACACAAGTACCTCAAGTAGGTGATGATTTTACTTGAAGTGTTGTGGCTGCAGGTGCTCCATCTGGGAAACCCAAATGGCTGACGTGTGGTGTTAAGGTACCCATGTCATTGTCCGACTCCAACTAGTACAGCCTGAACAACTGCACCTACCATCCATGACTCTGTGGAAAAAGGTGACTAATACATCAAATTTGCTATATCGGTGCCTCCACATTCACATTTAGTCCACAGGATTGAGAACTGTACCTCCCGACCATGCCCACCAGGGGACACACACTGATTCACATCTTAAAATAATTAAAGTACATTACTCTGGATTCCTTTTGGATTAAATTAAACCAGGGAGTGTGCTCAAGAAACACATTTGATATATCCTAGTTACTAAATGGTTTTTGAACCTGTGGGACCAAACTAAAACTAGTTTTAAGTGTTACCTTCCTACCCTAAATGCAGAGATATCATCTGCAGTGTCTTTCTGCACAGAGCTGTTCCTGCTTCACCACAATAGCTGCTAATGGTCGCAGTCAAAGTTTGATTGTCTTCTGGAACATCTCCAGAATTGATCTTGGCACAATTTCTGCAAAAAAAAAAAAGCAAGCCTGTTTCAGCAGGCACTGAGCACAGGCTTCAGCCATCTGGATGGACTCCATCAGTATATTGACAATGGATGCTAATATAGTTAAAATTAATGAAAATGCTTGTGATTATTCTGCTTCATTCACTAATCTTATGTTGCTAGGAAAAGTTATTACTGTATTGTTTGACGCTTACTGCATAAAAATGGCACTCGGATGAAAGGTCATCCCAAGAAGAGGAACTGTTTTCCACTTGTGTGCTGATATAGATTTCCTTTACAGTTGCACCTTTTCACATTCAACTGTCTCACAATATCATGAAAATTCAGGTCTTGGAATCACAAACATACCTTTGATATTTCTGAAATAAGTACCCACTGACTTGTTCCAGTGTTTTCAGATGATTACCTCATTTTCTTGACTTTATTAGGTTAAATAAGCAGAGTGAGTTTCTTGCCTATTATGACTAAAACAATTCAACATCTCAGTTTTAACCAAATTTGAAACTAGTCCTTTTTCTCATCTGAGACTGAGGAGATCAACAAGTAAACAATTTGGGGCTTACATCTGACTGAAGTACAAATTCTGATAATTCACAGTTGTCAGATGACCCTTTCACCAAAAGAGACAATAATTAAGCAATCCTTATATTGCCACAAGAAAAAAAGCACCGTCTTAATAAAGGTCCTTCAGTACACCTTCACTTTGAAGGCATTTTTATCAGTTCAGTGAACTTTAGTTAGAGAGCAGATAGTTTTCTGGACCTTTATTTTATACTGTTATTTCCTTAGCAAAACATGCCTTCTTTTTGTCACTGGGAAAAAAAAAAAGTTAGCTATCTCTTATCAGTAATGCAGGATTATTCATTCCTTTGAATTCAATGTTTTCATTATGAGTTTCATCAAATGAACTTTTCTGAGATTGATCATGAGGATTTTTATTATGTTTACAGTTGCTGAAATAGTTCAGTTTATTACTAGTGCTTGCTGTTGAAAGGTTGATATTTCAGTTTAACAGGTCTATCAGTTCTCAAGTTTCTAACAAATATAAGAACATAATTTTAAGATTCATATTTTTCTACTTATTGGCTTTGCATAGGATTTTACAGCTTAAAAACAAGTGTGATATTTGAATCATGAATTGCATATTCAGAATACACTTGTAAAATGTGAAAATACAATAAAATGAATGGGACTGTAAGGCTGTGGTTTTTTCAGCGTGAATAATACCTCTCTTACTCCAATCTCATTAATTATCTTGGATAATATTAATTTACTCATTGGCAAAAAGATTTTCCAGTTAACTCTGATCACATATGAAAGTTTCACTGTCAGTCCTGGCAAAGATAGTTTTAAAGAAAAATTTAATCAAGATTTTTTGACATCAGAACTTAGAGGGAAACTAGGCTATGACTGGAATTGTGAGTGCAGTAATCTACAACATGATTACCATTCACACAGCTTGAACACCTGTGTCCCCATTCTCCCACTACTCCTACCTGACAAATTGGTTTTCTCTCTCCTTGTGTTGGCTCTTGTCCCCTCAGCCTGGTCTTGCTCACCTGCCTATAAGAAAAGCAAAGACAAGTGCAAAGTATCACTGTATTTGCAGGTCTGAATATTAAATCCTAGAACTATTTGGTTTGGAAGGGGCTGAAAAAATCATCCTGCTCAACCCTCCTGCCATGGATAGGGACGATTTCCACTAGATCACATTGTTCAGAGTCCCATCCTTCCTGTCCTTGAGTGCTTCCAGGGATGGAGAGGCTACAACCTCTCTGGGCAACCTGTTCCAGTGCCTCATCACCCTTATAGTAAAAAATTTCTTGCTAATATGTAATCTAAACCTATCCACCTTGTACTTAAGGCCATTACCCCTTATCCTATCACTAGATGCCCTTGCCACAAGTCCCTCTCCAGCTGAACAGTCCCAACTCTCTGCATTTGCTTGATAAATCTGAAGTACTGTGCACACAATTGTACACATCATTTCTTTTAATTATATACATAGATATTTACATATTTTTTTACTTGATCATGACAAAGGTCTACACCTAGAGCATTCTTAGACAGTACTTATCTAAACACCAACTGTCCCTGCCCCAAACCCCACTGCACAGGATTAGAATTAGAAAAAACATACCCTACTTCAAAAATATTTCATCCTACACCTCTCCTGCCTCACTCCTTCCGACTGCTGGAAGCACTGTTGTCACCGGGAGTGACGCTCTGCTATTCCCCAGGAGCAGTCCTCCAGCAGCTCGTGTCATTCAGATGATAACTTAAAAGCCCCATTATGTTAGAAGAAGCAAATGCTTGAAGTTTCATTTTCTCAGAAGCAAACTTC